CGTATTCTTATTTACCTTCTTAACTTTAAGCAATTGAACACACTTTAAGGAGTGAACCCCAGAGGAATTTAAACTTAACAGTGTATATATGTATTTACAGGATGGAAGTTCTTACTAGTTTAAAATTATGATTCCCATTGAAGTTTATGAAACAGCCAATTGGATTTAATCCTGAAAAATCTCAGGTATATAATGAATATGATATGAGATTTTTAAAATAATAACTATAATAATAATTATTATAATAAATAATAATAATAATAATTTTTAAAGTATCTCCAGGGATTAACAGTGTCTTTTTAAAAAGATGTTGCAGGATAACTAACATACATAAATTGGTTAAGGAAAAGCAAATGTTACTTTTTAAATTTACTTTTAAAAAATACAAAGATCGTCTTTGAACTAAACCTGTTATATCTCAATTTGGCAGTCGGTTCCCCATTAAGATCCAAGCCTAAAAGATTTCCTTGCCCAGATCTAAGGGTCTCCTCAGGCTTTTCTACAAGGAGATCAATCTTTCCTAGGACCACAGCCTATAGTTAAGCATCTTCCTAACTTAGTTTTTCTCTAATTTAAAAAATCTGCAAAAAATACCGTTTGAAAAATTTCTAACCTTTGAAAGGATTTGAGCTTTTTCTTTTTACCCTAAGGGCTACAGCTCGAAGAGGAAATGGTTCATCCCAGGATTTCCTGGAGATTCTAAACATTTTGACTAATAAAAAAGAAAAGCTTAGAAAAACATTGACAGGAAAACTGAGAGCAGAGGTTTTCCCAAAATGCTTTTAGCAAAATCCTTCTCATTTTTGATTTTTTAAACAATGATGTTGCTGGATTTTTAGATACAAAAATATGTATACACACACACACATACATAAACAAGCCACCAACAAACCCTGAGGATAAGACAGTGTGTTTTATGACAAAATATTAAGGAGGCAATAAACAAATCCTTACTTTACTCCCAATGCCTTTTTTTTTTTTTTTTTTCAAATTATTCTGGCTTCCTGGGGAAACCGGTCCTGTGCATTAATGCTCTGGGTCTGTCTGTCTCCTCCTAATAAATTTGGAACCTATTAGCTGATTTCACTCACATTTGCAGAGGGATAGAAGTCTTAAAAAAATTGCATATACACTCCTCGAAAATAAGTGCTGGGCTGCAGAAAAGCCCACAGTACAAGTTCACTTCTTACAAGACACCAAAGACTCCACATAAGAGAGAATAAGTTATTTGGAGTTTACAACAGTAGACTGATCCCCATGCACCGGACCCCAGAGTTCATTAGTGTCGGGATGTCCGTGTCCCTGCTCTTTGCCCCTGGGTGGGTTTGGGACCTAGAGCTGATGCTGGCCACCAGCTGAACTCCAGCAGGCTGGTACCACTGCAGGGGAGCTCCTTGCTGGGTTCAAACTACTGCCCAAAAAGCAACTCAAGATCTTGATTTTTATTTTATGAGGGAAGTTAAAACTAGAATCAAACTCAAACACTTGCATATGCTAAAGGAAAACTGTAACCACTTAAACAGATTTCTAGAAAAGTCTTGCTTAATCAAGTCATAACCACCATGGTTTCTGGTCGGATGGCTCAAAACAATGTTAAAGAGAAGTGACATCTTGTCACAGCCGCCTGTTCGTTGGCTGGATTTGTAGACTATTTCCTTCAGAGTCAGCTTAAAGCCATCTTAAAACCTGAATTTATTTTTCCTTACTGTTCAGATAATGCCACAAAAACAACGCTGTTTCCTTTCCTTCTCTCTATCTTAATATCAGTGACCCCATGACCTCCAGCCTAAACCCCTATCTGAGTTAAATCTCCCAGAGGTGCCTGAGATTACTGAACAACTGACGACTTCAAAATAAACCCACTTAGAGTGACTGCCTACACACAGTCCCACCTAATAAATACAGCAGACAGTTTTTGTTTTGGGAAGTGATGGGACATTGTGACTTCGGCTCAGGGAAAGTGCATTTTTACTCACGCAATTTATGGTCCTCCCATCGGTGTGCTTTGAAAGCCATTTTTGCATGGCCATCTCTGGCCCTTATTTGCAACCAATCAACCATGAACAATAGAAAGGGGTTTTCACCCTGACAGGAGAAAGCCTTTTTATCTAAGCGGTGCCATTCTTCTGTGCAAAGCAGCAATCCAACACACAGCTTTTATCTTTGTGTTTGGAGACATCAGCTCAACCCCGACAGCACACAGGCCCTCTTTTACTGCCTAAGAGAGTGGGTGCCACCAATCCCACAGGGCATCAGGCACCATCAGACGTTTTAGCAGCTCTTTTGTATGGACTATGGCCATCTCAACGGTAAGGGGGCTGGACCAGCCATTTACACCAGAGGAAGGTCAGAGGGGATGCAGCAGAGCTGGGACAGGAAAGAGCTCTTGCATCACTGATGAATTCAACTGAGGGATCCCCAGCAAGTGGGGGCAGTGTGTGGGAACCCTAAGTTTCATTTCTTGAAGACCAGGCTGTTTCTTAGGTTTCTTATATTCATGCCAACTGTTCATACCATTACCCAACAGTATCTGTGCTGCTGCCTCGCTGTAACCTTTGCTCTTTTGCCTCTATCTTCTCAAGCGCTTCAGTTGCAACCAAATCCACAGAGACAAGCCTTTTCCACTTGTACAACCTCACTCCAGGCCCTCAACAACAGACCAAACAAGCCCAATGAAGACCACAGCTAATAGCTTTACTACCTTGACACTCAAACAGTATTTCACCCTCCTACATCTCTGGATTACAGAGCCAGGAGTCACACATGAATGGAAGGCATGAGTTACAAAAGTCTACCTCACATATAAATCAGCTTGAATGTTTGAGGCATTTAACTTTCAACTTCAAAAAGGTGAAACATTAGAAAAGCTCCAAACTTCTCATATAAAGTGAGCAGGAAAAACTATTGGGTCTCAAGGTTTCAAAGGAGGCTGGCATTGCATTAAAGTGTTGATATCGGCAGTTGCACAAGCTGCCTTGGGACAGTTTGAACTTCATTTTGCAAGCCCATGGGAGAGGCTGGTGGTTTGATTTTATGTGAGATTTTAATGAGATTTGGCTTTTAGGCAAGTAAACCCAATCCACAGAAACATATCTAAAAAAACCATTGCCATGTTTTCAAACAAGGAGGGGAAGTGAATAGACATGTACCTGAACTGGGTTTAGGGACACTTCAGCATTTCCACCAGGAAACACATTCTTTATTGTGTTTGGTTTTGGGAGCAAAGACAAAAATCCCACTTGTTCCAAGGTACTCTCACAAACATTCACATACTGTGTTTTATTGTGCCACAAACCTGCAACATCAGACTGGACATTGGAAGGCTCTTGAAGGCCAGCAACATGTTAGTGTTGTATGTGATAACTAAAGAGGAGAAATCATGGCCTTTGTACAGGAGAGATTTCTCCTTACTCATCTTATGTGCACTTGTTCCTAGTTGTATAGCACAAAAAAAAGCCCAGAAAACAAAACCAAGGTTCACCTTCATCAAATACAGCATCGTGCCTGGTTTATGTCAGCTGCTTGTAAGGTCTTTTGGTCATATGATCCTGAATAGCATGAAAGAATAAATAAGATGCTTACTTTTCTAAAAGATTCTATTCAGTATACAGAATCTTTGCCATGGTCATCACTGAACATCAGGTCAAGGATGCAGTCAGCTGTATCCTTTCAGTTCTACATTTTTAATACTTTTGCATAGATGAGTGAGTTGACTTTGGCTGGTTATCCTGAATGCTCACATGCTTTGTCAAAAATCAATTGCTGACAAACTCTGACAGCAAACTCTGTGCCTATCACCTTGTCTAGGAGGATTTCTAACCAAGTTGAAAGGTTGCCAAGTCCACCTCTTCAATTTGTCTGACTATGGTCCCAAACGGTGCCGCAATGGAAGAACAGTTTTGTGGGGGCATCTAAGAGGCCATAGTAAAATAAGACAAGGAAACCTTATTACCAGAAAAAATACTTGAGCAGTCCAAAACCTTCATATTAAATATATCGCTAAAAAAAAATAGACAACAAATTCAGGAATTACAACAGAAGAAACAAATTTTGTATTAAGCTGAAGACAAATGGACCTGTGTTCTTCTGGTGTGTTTGCTATATAGGAGACTTGAGAATGAAAGGCAACCCTGAGGAAACCCTCAGACAAATTTCACTCTTACTTGATAGGGGAGAAATGGCTTTCCAGTCCTAAACTTACCAAGGCTGAACTACAAACATTGCATTCACAGGACTCCAGTAGCTGGAGTTACAGGATGACCTCTGCGTAGAACCATGATTAATAACAATACCGCAAAAACAACGACTTAAATTTCATACTATGATGTCAGCTCTTGAGCAGGCAACTATTGTTTTCCTTTGCTCTCTCTTCTGGACATGTGCCACCACAATACAAACACTAAATAAGCATTACTGGAAGAGTTTGAGTGACTATATCCTGTCAGTGCCCAAATTGCAATTCCAGAAAAGAAATGCCCACTGTCCTGCTTGGTTCAAAACAAACTGCAACATAAATATTGACATGCATAGTTCTTCAGGGGTTCTTCTTTTGTTGTTTTCCTTCTCTGTATGCAAACAGAAAAATAAAATATACAGTTTCAGGTCAAAATAGTGGCTTGGGGAAAAGAAAAGAGAAAAAAAATAAAAGAAAGAAAAACCCAAGTCCCTGATTTTCCAGATTAATGAAATGCAATAAAAGTGCTTGCCCAAATCTGTTCAGTTCCATTGGTTTCCAGAAGACGGGTTTCCCCTTTCCTTGAATCTCTTGTGCTGTTACTAGGAATTAGTGAGCTGTGAAACTCACCTAATGAGGTCAGCATCAGGAAATAGCTCTGAAAAAACAGGTCCCGGGGGATCTACTAAAGGACTCCCCCAGTATCCAAACGAAATCCTGGATGCATCGGCGTGCTGTACAGCCGAGGCTGTGGGAGGAACACGCCCGACTGTTGTTGTTGTTCCTATAAAGGGACAGCTAAGGAAAGTGAAACTATTAACTCATCCACTGGAATTTCTGCTCACAAAACCGTGCCCCCTGTTAAAGCTCCTCATAAAAGGCTTTCGGCTAGTTGGTTCCATATGTTCCCCAAACCCGCAGTTATTGCTTCTGAAAGGCAGGAGTAGTTAACAGTCTGCGGCTTGGCACTGACCAGGGAGACCCAAGAACCTTGCTTTTTTCCCCCCTCCCTTTCAAACTGCCAATTAACCAGTTTAATGAAACAGTTTGAATGTGACTGAGGCGCTTGGAGAAACCTCTAACCATCACCTATCCTACCAGCTTAGCCATGACAGTGACACATGGACATGGCCTGGCGCAGAGCAGTCACACTACTGACATGCAGCCCTGGGACTATGACTGGTTTTCTTGATGCTGAGAAAGCTGCAGGGAGATTAGAGCCCAGCCTTCAGCCCTGCACACCCAAAGCTGCTCCTAAAGTTGACTTCCAACAGCCTGACTTCAGCCCTTAGACTTCTCTTTTTGGGTGTTCTTTTCTCTTTTTGAGGTCCCAAGGTTTGTGTTTGATTGAACCAAGGCATTCAAAAACAAGAGAAACAATTCCTAGACAGAAAATACTCCAACGTGCATGAGACCCCCCATTCCCTCACACCCAAGCCAAAAGAGGACTCTCCTGGTTGATAGCAGCCCTCATGCATTCCCTGGGCTGACCCTACTATGCTATTGCTTCTGTGCCAAGGTCCTGGCTTCAGCTGGACTGGGGCAGGCACACTGTTAACTCAGAGTTTGGAGAACAGTTGTTTGGGGTTTTGATGGGTTACCAGGTGAGCTCGCTATAGTTTGTGCTCTTAGATACAAGTTTTCCCTTGCACAAAGCCATTAAAACAACAAATAAAGACTATGGAAACCTAATCTTAGTTAATTTCCATTTTGACAGCACTTTAGAAACATTGTATCATTCCCTATATATACTATAAACACTGCACCCACCTTTAATAGGTCAAAACGGCCCAAAACAAAGTCTTAAATATGCAAACTGAAGTCAACAACAGCTGTACCACAGGCATTACCAGAAGAAGAGTAAGACGTGAAAACTCTTCTTCTCAATGTAGGGAAATTACTTTCTGAAGGTACTTAGAGTCCAGATTAATTTAGAAGAAAAGGCAGGGACAAAAAGAGCTTTGATATGGAATTTCCATTCTTTCCCCTCTTGTTAACAACCACACCACGGCAGAAAGACATTTCAGAGCCCTTACCACACCTCTTCTGCCAGTAACTCAGCTTGACATCCAACCAGTGATGGTGTAAGTGAGCAGTAACTGTGCAGGACAACTCTCTGCTTTGGTCAATGCCCAAATTCAAGCTTAGGTAAATAAATTAAAAAATAAAAGGAGGAAGGATTTGCAACTTAATCAAAACTTAAACACCGGAAGGGACAGAATTACCTCTGTTAAATTTGCAGCCTAAATGTATGGCTTTTGTGGATTTTGTATGCGAGATTTACTTGCATCCACTACTTTTACATTGATCCAGTTTCTCAGTTGTACTGAGTTCAGTAGATTAATTTTGATGACTAAACCTACCTAAAAGGCTAAATATTTTCCACAAAAGAGTTACACTCTGAGCAGCTCAATTCTGCAAGTGTTTTTCTGGTTGAAGTGCAAGAAGTTCCAGTAACCAACACCTTGCCCAGCAGTGATGGCTTGCAGGTCCAAGTGCCACCAGTTAGACTTCTGGACTGCAGTCTTAGATCTTGTCAATTAAAAAGGTAAACAGACAGTAAAATCAATTCATACCTCTGGCATGAGACTGCACTCTCAAAGGGAGACAATTTCAAATTTTTTTTCTTGTTTATAGTTGAACAAAGAGTGGCTCAGAAGAAAATGGCTTCTCCCTGGAAATCACCTCAGCTAGGTAGCTATTTGACTTAGAGGTCTGTTAACCTGCTAGACAACAAAACATTGTGTTTCAAATGCCTACCAGTAACCTAAAAATCTCATATTAGTTTTTAATAAAGTCAGACATGATGGTGTAAATTGTTTCCTCCCACTTCTTTCTTTACTCCCTTGACATTAATCTGTGGCAGAGGCGTAACAGCTCTTCCTGGGCTAAGTAGCTGGCAACTGGGTTTGATTTTAAACAGACTCATTCAGTTTTCAAATAAAAGATATTGGAAAGACCACTACAGGGACAAAAGGCCAAAGTGCTCAACTGACATGAATGGACCCAACTCCACAAAGAGAAAGGAGATGGACTGTGACACCAGGTGACAGCTGTCTGAAGTAACACCTCCTGACCATGTCAAACCCATAGGCGTAGAGGAAGGCAGACATGGCGATGCCTTGGGCTTGGCTGCAAGACCAGCTCCTGCATGCCTCTTGGTCCCCCTTTGTCCCTTTCTGTGCCACCATCCCAGCAAGCCTGACTTGGCCAGTTATTCCTGTCCTGTGAGTATCTCACCACATTAGCAAACCTCTATCTTCAAAAACCCAAATGCTGCCTCAATGTCAGGGAACTCCCCCCACTCCCGCCACGTAACTGAAGAGTTTTGTGGGCACTAGAAGTTTGTGAGAAGGTTTGTGGAGAAAAGCAGAACTCCAGGAGAGGTGCCATGGGGGCTGTAGTGCACTGATCCAAAGGTGTTATTGAAACAAAAGCAGTTATCCTAGATAAGTCCAGCACCCCCCAAAAGTGTCCGGTAACAGATACTTTGGGAAAGAATGTAAGAAATGAGCTGAGCAGAGGGTGAGCTTTTTCAGACAACACTTCACATCTTTTGGAAATCTGCCAGTTGGGAAGCTTATAGTTGAAAATACCTCTTCTCCTATCACTCCTTCCCACTCATCTTCCTGCTGCCCATGCCTTTACCTCAAAATTATCGCTGAGCTCGGTTGCAGGACTCCATTTAAAAGTAGCCAGCTGCCTGATCTACCACAGAGAAGGTCACAGCCTGCTACTCTGCTCAGCAATTGCATTCCCCAAATTGATGCCTGGCAGGACGCCTGAAGGGCAGTGCCCATGATCACTTTCCTCCACCTTAAATGGGTACATTGTCCCCACTTTTGGGATCATCACCTTCAAAGGGGGCACATGAAATCCTTTCCAAGAACCTGAAACCGCGTTTGCGCTCTTGACTCGCAAGTAAAATTGTTACTGGGCCCATCTGGGGTTTCAATTTTACTTTTTTGTCTCCACCGTAATAGAAGGAATGTGGGAACATGCCCCGAGTGGAGCATACCAGTCAGCCCCAGTGATGAGTGAGCTGCAATGAAAGGGGCACCCACAAAGAGGGAAAAAAAACCCCCAAAAAGCTCTGGGGGGCTTGGGGAACTCCCAGTTTTAGGCACCCAGCCTGAGGTATTTTTTAAAAAAGCCTGGTTTCATACTATGCTAAGCATCCACCCATTGAAAAATGCAACCTGTCCTGGCTGTATTTAATTTGGGATTTTATTCATATTACTGCTTAATTTTGAACTGTTTCTTTTTAATTACCAGCTGAAGCTACATAGTAAAATGGAGTAGCCCCACAGGCATGTTTTTCTTTCTATTATATTACAGTGAGGCAGCAGATTAACTCCTTCAGCCATCCCAGCTTAACACCTCACGATGCCAGCACGGCCCCTTTCCAGACTGCTGCTCCTGCTGTTAGAATGGCTGAAGGGGACGTAAAGATATATGTCCTGAATTTCCAACTCCCAGCCCTGGGTACCAGCACAAACAGGTGCCAATTGCCACGTACGTCTGCGTGCTGGAGCGTAAATCACAGCCCATCGGGAAGGGGAACATTTTCCAGCAAGCCAGATGGAGCTACAACCTCTGGCCAAGGACAAACAGTTTGGGGCAACAACTGTCTCAGTTTTCTAGTCTCCACATGAGCACAATTCAGTCAGCAGCTGTAGAAAAGGGAACATTTCCTAAGCCTGAAGGTGACTGCATCCTTGTGAGGTCAGCAAGGAAAGAAAAAAAAAAAGTCAAGATTTGAAACAACATGAGAAAAGGAAATGTTCAAGAGCAAGCACAGAGCTGAACTCATCAGGGATAAGTGCTTGTTTTGGGTTGGTTTGAGGTGGGGTTTGCAAAAGGGTCTTACCATCGGGGAAACAGTGAACAAGCACAGGGTACCCCATGTCTGTTAATAAACACGGGGCTTGATCTGCAGCCTGCTCACTTCAGGTCCTCCTCACTTATAAAAAACCTCATGTCATAAATCAGGACAGCTGATGGGATCCCATCTGTGCCAGCTGTTATGGGGCACAGTGATCCTTGGGTGGCCTCACTAGGACAACCCCTCTTTCCTGCTAGAAATTCATAGTTACATCCTTAGGATCAGCTTCAGGGTTGCAATGCAGACCTTGCAAGGTACATAACTTGGGGAGCACTGGCAGTGGTCCCAACCCTTCATGCTTTGATCTACCAGCTCTGGGAGAGGGAGCCTGCAGAAGGGGCGCATAGTGCCCAGCCCATCACACCAGCAGCTGGAGCAAAACACTTATTTCCTTACAAGTATCGGAGGAAAGAGCCCAGCACAAATGGCATGATTTTTGTGAATAAAGATGCTACATTGGCCTAAGTATCCCTAGGCCTAGAAGAAAGGCTTCACCCCAATCCTCCTGCTGATGGCAAGATGGTTTTTGGGTGCAGAAGCAGTGAAGCAGTGTGCAGGCAAACAGTCCATGCCCTAAGCCACCTCCTCCTCCAGCAAAAAGCCAGTGCGAAGGGAGCCTGTCTGGAAAACAATTAGGTGGCGACATTACAGTCCTGGGTAACATCAGATGGCCACAAAAATCCTGCAGACAACTGCTCAGAGGCATATTTTATCAAAGCCTGGGAAAGGGCAATGAAGGTGATCAATCATAATTCACCAGGAAGACAAGCAGGCGCTTTGCGAGAGGGCAAGGCTGGAGCTACACCCTCGTGCTCTTCCAAGGCAGCCTGCTGAGGTCCTTCTGTCACCAGAAATGGACTCTTGAAAATGCTCCCACCAACCCATACACTGTGGCTGATACACGGATGTTTCAATATGGAGCTGCAACACTTCCTGCAAGCAACTGCTGATCTCATCCCGAGGTCCTCTGTCCAACGGTACAGACAGGAAAAGCTACAGACGCAGCTAAGACTTGAACAAGAAATAAAGGCAGCAGCTCCTGCTTCAGCTGCCTTTCTGAGGGAGATGCAGCAAAGGGCAAATGTAGAGGCAGAGATGCCCAAGAGAGAAAAAAGTCACTTCAGAGCTCGGGGCACATGGGCAAGACTGCCCAGGAGGAGAGGAGGAGCATCAGATCCATATGCTGCTGCCCTTATGGCCCAGGGAGCGCTGTATAGTCCCTGTATAGTGTTACAGCCCTGTTGCAGTCTACAGGATTTTTGCTTGGAAGGAGTAAATTACATTAAAATTATTCAATATTCAGTTAGCCAGGGAAAGAAGGTGACCTTCCCATCAAATCACACCCGCTCACATTTCTAATATCATCTACTTGTAGCCAAGCACTTGCCTTCAAACTAAGCAGAGGCCAAGAATAATTACTTACTATTCACAGGGCTATTTACATCAATTATTTAGCAAATAAATTCAGCTAACAAATAGCTTCAAGGAAACTGCAGTCTATTCACAGTCAAGTTGCCAGGATAGAAGAAATTTATAAAATTAATTATTTGTAACAAACTATTCTGTTAGCTTTCAAGGTCAGAATGATAAATTCAGACATTTTATTTTCTACTATATATTAGGCTCCCTTAATGTAATTCTGTTGCTTATGAATTATGGGAGGTTATCTTTCAGGAGACGGATATTACTGCTATATTTTCATTATCATTGGGACTGAAAGATCAGATTGCTTGAACCTGTTTTAAGCATAGGCTAAACAAGTCTCAACTTCAGTCACAGAACACATAAGAAACCAGCTACCAGAGAGGATATGCTGCTAAGGAATCAAGAAGAGTCTTCATAGATTTTTTTATCTCCTGACTAGAACCAAGGATCAGATGTTGCTGTAAAACACCTACATAAACTGGCAAATTCTAAAGAAAGCACTTAATTCAGGTAACATTTTGTCTTTCTTTGCTCTTCTAACTATGAAGAAAGAACCTAGAAGAAAACTCTTTGCACAGCTCCAAATATTCTTGAACACAGGCTATTCCCTCATGTAAATAAAAAAAATAATATGAGAATTAGAGTTGTTTTCGGGCACCATTCTGGTTCACACACGCAAACAGCAGACAAAATACCTGAAAAAGAGATAAGCCTCAGGTCCACCTTCTGCCTCTTTAGCCTCATCTTCCCATTCCTGAGATGCACTCTCAGAAGAAGAAATGCATTTCCCAAAGTAAAGTAAAAAAAAATCCTTTTCCCCTCCCCTCTTTTTCCTTGCCTGATCAATACCAATGCTCCATAAATACACCCACATGTAAGCAAGCACATGCTGCCATTCCCTGAAACTCTCTGTAAGTTTTCAGCAGGTTGTACCCTCCACAGCTGTGCTTCACGAGGAAGATTCCTGACATCATAGAATGGTTTGGATTGGAAGGGACCTTAAAGATTATCTAGTTCCAATCCCCCTGCCATCAGCAGGGACATCTTTCACTAGACCAGGTTGCTCAAAGCCTCATCCAGCCTGGCCTTCAACACTTCCAGGGAGGGGGCATCTACAACTTCCTTGGGCAACCTTAGGCAACATCAGACATGAGGACACAGCTTGGACAAATCCTGGAGACCCGAAGGGTAAAAAAAGCACCTCCCTAAAGCAAATCTCTTTGCTGTTGCCTCAGAATAACAGAGATGAATAGGAGCCTTCTACACAGTCAGGACTGCGCTGCTGTGGCTCAGGGCCTTCAGACCACTCTTTTACCTCGGGAAGACATCCAACAAGGAATCCCAAAGCAGTGGTGTGGGTACTAAGCAGAGCACAGAGGATCGTGTCCAGCTTTGATTTAACTTCTTAAGCCTAACTCTGAGGAGCACAAGGAGTTTCAGAGCCAGTCTCAGCTGGTGTAATTTAGCATCGTTGTGATGATTTACGCCTGCTGAAATCCTGCCTGCATGCCCTGGAGGAGGAGAAGGGGATGATACAGTGGGTAGGAAATGACATCCTCCACAAACCTGTGGGGGATCAGCTCATTTTGAAGATAACATCTGTTCTGCATTTCTTCCCTGCTCAAGATCTTTTTATCTCCCCTAAAGTAGGTAAGAAGGGGAGTAGGCTCAGGTGTTTTTACAGACCCAGTTCTTTGCTGGTGTAAGTTGGTCAGTTTAGTTTGCCTCAACCATGCTTTGCTAATTCACTTGACAGGGAATTTTGCCCCATGTTTCTATTTTGTAGAAGAGCAGTTATGCTTG